GGTTTCCAGTCTGCCGGTGGCGGCGGGTTTAGCAGAAAATGATTCAGCTGCAGTAATCGGGGCCATCACGGCTGGGAAATCCAGCCCCCAGCGAGGAATCCCCTGGTTCCCTGCCCACACTGCCAGCGCCACGGCCCTCCCGGGTCCCTGCCCTGCCCGTGGAAGGGGTATCAGCGTGGGCACCTCCTCGCCGCCCCCCCGGGGCTGTCTGGGCAGAGGGGCTGCCCTGCGTGTAGCACCTGGCACCCCGCGGGGGAGCTGTGACCTACTTTGGAAAGCGCACACAAGGCGTGATAGCATCGGGGAGAGTGTGAGCCAGGCACGGCTTCCTCTCGGGGCGGAAATCACCTCCTCTGCGAGGGAGATAAACCCCAGGAAAGTTTAAACTGGCAGAGTTAACCCCCCCCGCGCCTGGCTGCCGACAACTCCCTGGACCTGCAATCCATGGCACCACCAGCAGCGCGCCCGACTCACTCGTCCCCATCCCTGGGGACACGGCAGGGCTCCTGTCGTCACAGGTGGTCGAGCTTCCCGGCACCACTCCCCAACCAGCCTGGAAGCACCCTTTGCAGAGCGCACAGGGGCACCTGCCAGCAGCCATCTGGGCACAGGTTGTGGCACAGTGGCCCCCACAGGGCCAGCAGGAAGTGGCTTGCTCTTGTGGGGCGGGAAAGGCAGTGCACAGGGGCTGCCACGGGGCATTCCCTGCCCTGGAGCAGCACACCCGCGCAGCTCAAGGGCACAGGACCACCAATCCAGCCATTCTGCCCTGCACAGGCACTGGTGTCCACATGGTACGGGACCTGGCTCTGGCTCCAGTAGCCCATCATAAGTGGCTGGGAGTGGAGCATGGTGTGAGGGCCATCCCCCATGGGTCCATGGCTCCTGGGGCACCCTGGCTGCCCGCAGCCCTGCTCTCTCTTTGCCCACAGGTGATCCTGGCAGTGCTGGGGCTGGCAGCCAGCAAATTACAGCCCCTGGGGTGGCAGAACCACACCATGCTGCGAGGACAGCGGGTCCTGGTGCAGCCACTCACCCGCCTGCGGAGACATGCCACCAGACACCCCTGCCCTGCTGGCATGAACTGGATCGAGCGTACTCACCAGTGCTGTCGCCAGTGTCCTGCAGGTGAGTGCTGCCTGGCCCGTGTGGCATGGCATGGCACACTGTGGCAACAGAAGGTGTGTTACCCCGTGTGGCCCTGCTTCCTGTCACTTCGCTGTCCCTGCAGGGACATACCTGCACCAGCCCTGCACAAACCACAACGACAGGGTCTGCAATCCCTGTCCCATCGGGACCTTCCGCTCCCAGCCCAACACCTTGACAGAGTGCCAGGCTTGCTACGAGTGTGACCGACAAGGTGAGCTGGGATCACACCATGCTGTGCTGTGCCATGCAGCGCAGTGCTGTGCCACTCACTGCCTGCTTTCTGCAGCTTTCCAGAGTGTTCTGAGCAACTGCTCGGCCACCAGCAACGTTGCCTGTGGCTGCGAGCCCGGATACTTCCGTGTCTGCCTCGACAAGAGCTGCAGCGAGTTCTCATGTCGGAAGTGCCAGCCCTGCACTGGGCGCCTCATCCAGCAGCCCTGTGAGTGCTGCCAGCCGCCCCTGCTGGCTGTGCCACCTCTGGCTGTGCCACCCTCCCTCATGCCCACCCTCTCTCCAGGCTCAGAGACTCAGGACACACTCTGTGAGAGCAGCTGCAAGCCTGACTTCTACACCGAGGGCGACGAGTGCCGGCCGTGCCACATGTAAGCACTGACCCTCGCTGTGTCCCAGCTGGGGACAGGTGTGGGGCCTGTGGCACAGCACAGCATGGTGCCCATGGCTCCCCTCTCCTTGCAGGAGCACCCTGGACACGTGCAGCAAAGAGTGCCAGCAAGTGTGTGGCAGCAGCAGCAGTGGCCAAGGTATGGGGGTTATGGAGCTGGGGGTAGTGGTGTGGGATCATCGTGCTGGATGGTTGATGAGAACACTCCTGCTGCTCCTTGCAGACTCAGGTCTGGAGTACATCCTGTTGGGACTCACTGGGCCCCTCTTCCTGGGTGCCCTTGTCATCTACCACAAGAGGAAGAGGCTCCGGCACGATGCCCTGGCACCTGGTCCCCTGCCCACAGCACAGGCAGGCACCTCCATGGCTGGGGCTGTGGCCACACCGTGGTGCCAGTTCAGTGTCCCAGGGTGGGACAGCCTGTGCTGGACCCAGCCGTGCTCCCCACAGGGGACAGATCGTGCCACTGTCACGGTGAGGCAGAGCCCCAAGCACCAGGCCCTGCTGCGTGAGCAGCTCAGTGACGAGGAGGAGCCCTCTGCCCCACCGGAGCCCCGCAGTGCCCTGCTGCAGGGCAGCCAGCTCTATGCTGTCATCGACGCTGTGCCAGTACGGCGTTGGAAGGAGTTCATGCGGATGCTGGAGCTGCGGGAGGCGGAGATTGAGCTGGTGGAGCTGGAGGTGGCCCACATCCGTGACCAGCAGTATGAGATGCTGAAGCGCTGGTGCCAGCAGACCAGCGCCACGCTGGACCGTGTCTTTGCTGCGCTGGAGCGCATGGAGCTGGCCGGCTGCGCCGAGGCCCTGCGCCAGAGCCTGCCAGCGGGGCCCTAGCCCCCAGCGTCACCCCATGGCACAGGGAGGTCCTGGCACCTTCACATCTCACTGGGCACCTCTGCTGTGCCATACCCCTAAGTATTGTTACTTATGCCGTGTAGACATTTTATGTCACTTTTATGTCCCCTTCCTACCCACTGTCCCCCTCTATTTATGTCCCCCTGCTCCCAGGGCTAGGAGGGACCCCATGCCCCAGCAGGTCGGCTGCCTGGCCACTCGCAGGACGAGCGGGCACCGAGCCCACTGCAAACCCATGGGACAGTTCTCAAGGCTGCCCACTGCCGGGCGTGCCTGTGCTCACCCCAATAAAGTGGCGTGTTTTCCATCGGCCAGCCCCCTCTCTTCCTCGCAGGGCTGCACCAGCAAGGCACTGAGGCACTGCTGACCTCAGGGCCACCACTGGTGATGTGGCCACCACAGGTGACGGGCGATGCGTGTGCTGGCAGAGATGCAGGTGGTGTGGGTGATGGGGATGATTGTGGTGCTGTGGACGAGGGGGGCAGTGCAGTGGGCAAGCACGGTATTGGGGCAGGGGTGGTGTGGGCAGCCCCAGGAAGGCGAGGGGCACTGCTGGCGAGATTTATAGTTTTAATTGCTGGAAAGGCAGGTGGTCTGAGTGGAGATGAGCCGGGAGCCAGCCTCGAGCGGCTCTGGAGGGGCAGGAGTGGGGTTGAGCATGCTGCAACAGCGAGCAGTGCCAGTGGGGAGTGTGGGAGCTGGGCAGCATGGCGAGCCCAGCCGCAGCGGTCGAGCCGGGCAGTGCACAAGGAGCCGCGTGCCCTACCCCATGGCAACTCACTTTGCAAAGGGAGATGAAGGTGCGTGGGGCTGGCGACAGTGGGATGGGGACTTAGGGTGCCTGAGGCAGGTGGTGGGGCTCCTCTAAGGTTGGAAATGTGGCATCCTATAGGCGGGAGGAGAGGTGCTAGGCATATTCCATCGGATCATTGGGGGGACCTGCTGGCCTCCTCCCGCCGCGAAGAGCCAGGCGTGGCGTGGCTAGTGCTTGGCTATGTCCCCCTTCTTGAGGATGATCTGTCGCTGCCAGGGCGCCAGCTTTGTCTCATCGTACCCAAGAGTCCTTAGCTTTTCCGACTGCTCCTTCTCCTTCTCCTCCTCCTCCCGCTTCAGCTTCTCCT